ATCGGACACTAACCACGCCCACATCCCATATAACGGTAATATAGAGAAATACAAAATCTTCGATAAATCAGTAAATATTAAAGCTGATTGATTCGAAATTGATGCTTGCAACAATTCTTTACCAAGAAATACGTTTATGGTACAATTTTGGAAAATAGGCGTGGCACCACCCACTTATGATCACATATATGTATCTCCGTAATCGTTCTACAAATTTGTACCAAACTTGGTATGGTTATTGTGCTTGCCACATAAAAGTAAAACGTTGAAAATTATTGAAATCGGACTAAAATTACGGCCGCTTTTCATATAACGGTAAATTCCAGAAATGCTTAAAACTGCAATATTTCGAAATTTAAGGACGCTAATTTACTCAAAATTGATACACCCCGGCTTACCATCTAGCGGTAGATTTCGGAAAGGTGAAAAAATATACATTTAATACTTGCGCCGGGTATTTAATGTTCGGCTCCGCCCGAACTTAGAATTTCTTACTTGTTATGATTACGATTATAGCAATCGTAATCCTTAACATTTCAAGATTACAATTACCGTAATTGTAATCATGAAAATTACGATTACAGTAGTCGTAATCGATAAATTTTTAGGATTACAATTAAAGTAATCGCAATCATGCAATTCAAGATTTCGATTACAGTAATAAAGAAATTAGTTTTGCTTAGAGCAAATATTGATTTTTATACACTAAAATGGATTTAAATTATGCATTCGCCTATTCGTTTGAAATTGTTGTAATATTCTACACAGACTCGTGGTCGCAGTATTTCCAATAAAGTGTGATTTTGATTCACCGTCCACCTTGATGTTGTCACACAAAATGGAGGGACCTACAGTTTTACGCCGACCCGAAAGGCGAATGCATTTGTAGGAAAAGATGTTTTTCATGACAGAAATACATTCGGAGGTTTGCCATTGCGTGCCGAGAAGCGACCGCTATTAGAAAAAAAACGTTTTCTGTTTTTAATTTTTTGGCGTTGGGTTAAACCAGGCTTGAATACACGCCCTACGAAATGGTAAGCGCACACTGCTAACCACTACACCACAGCGGCCGCTGTGTAACTGTATTATTTCAACTTTAAATCAATTTTACATACTTTTCGGTGAAAGTGGCTCATTTACTTAACTGCAAAACTTCTACAGAATATCATAAAATCGCAATCAACATTTTCTTGTTTACGATTACGTTAATTGTAATCATAATATTTTTAGGATAACAATTAAAGTATTCGTAATCATAATTTTCATGATTACAATTACTGTAATTGTAATCTTAAAATTTTTAGGATTACAATTACGGTATTCGTAATCATGTTTTCCATGATTTCGATTAAGGTAATCATAGTCCCTAAATTTTTAAGATTACAATTATTATAACCATAATGGCAACATTTGAGATTACAATTAATGTAGTCGTAATCGTATATAATTTAAGGATTACAATTACGCAATCGTAATTGAAATGTAATCGTAACCAAAAATCACCCAGCTCTGAATTCAACAAACCCATCAAGATGTAATTTTTTCTGGTCTTAATATTTTCATACATATTAGTTTTGTTATCTTTTAACTTCAGATTTAAATGTCGAGTTCACAAAAGAATGCGCTGGAAATTTAAAAACATTTGTACCGTCTTCCTGGAAGTGGTATTTTGTATTTTTGCAGCTTCCAAATGCGCAACTCATTTTTCTTTTTATTATTTCATTTATTTATATGTTTATTTTATGCAAGTGAGACTAGTGTCTCTTACAGGACATCGACTAAAGGTTAACTATGGTGTTAAAAAAAAGAAAATAATAATAATAAAAAATTATATATAATATTATTTTAAAATTAGCATTAGTTATAAAAGGCATAGAGAGAAGGTAGAAGAAGATAGTCTAGAGGGAATGAGGAGGGAGAGGTTTTCCAGATGCAAGTCAAGAGAAGTAAGTTTGTATTGTATTCTTGAAGCATCTAGCATCTTTTATAGTTCTTATAGCGGGTGGAAGAGAGTTCCATAATTGTGCACCATGAACAAAGAACATGCGAGAAGTAACAATGTATGTAGTCTTAGGTATTATAATATTTAGCACACGCTCGCTTTGCCCAAATTTTAGGTTTTTAAATAAGTATTTTAGTTTTGCAGTATAAAACAACTTGTGTAAAAAAACAAGATTTTGTATCTTAAGAAAGCTATCCAGGGTGTTGTCAAGTATTTGCTTAGAATGAGCTGAAATATGGTCATATTTTCGTTTTGAGAAAATAAAATTATTATTTTACTTTGTTTTTTGTTATTTTTATGGCCTTATAACAATTATATTCAACAATTTTTATGAGCTTGAGGCCGTTTTAAAGTGAAAAATTATTGTGGAAAAGCAACAATAATTTGAAAAAATGGTAGAAGTGATATCTATTTCGGAAATCACCACATTTCCTCATCAGACTTCTTTCAGTAGGATTCGACCCGCCGTTCACCACTGACTCAGCCAGTTGCCTACGCACTGTGCTAAGTTTGTCTTGTTAATTCTTGTTGCTTATTTTCCACTATTTCACTTTGCTAAGCCAACTACAATCAAGCGCAGCTATTCCGCTGCAATTCACTTGATCATGTGGTTGTTGGTTTTGTTGGTTTTTGTTAATATTTCTATTATTAGAATGTTTAACTTTTTAGGTGTGCTCGTCCTTAAGTTATTTGTTTTTTGTTATTTTTATGGCCTTATAACATTATATTCAACAATTATTATTTTACAAAATTATTTTGTTTTTGCTATGTCTAGTTTATTTCAGAAAAAAATTATATTATAATTTTCAGTGTGGTAGCTAGATTTTGATGAAAATGGCAAAATTCCAGCAAATGTCAAATGGCTAACATGGCTGCTAACGTCATTAATTGAAACTACCTTCTTTTTTCTACCATTCTTTAAACCTACTTTCTTTTTTAAGAATGAGGCCATTAACAAAAACGAAAAATTCAAAAAAATTACGTTCAAGAAATTGAAAAGAAATTTTCTTCTATCAAAGTTTCTTAAATTACCTCTCAAGAAATATATGCTCGTTTAGTAAGAAAATTTACAGGAAAGGTCAAGTAGGTACTTTTTCAAGCAGCAGAAATAATGAAAAATATTTGTCGTGATTTTTATTGACTGCAATATTAAAAGTACAGGGTAAAAAAAACTTCTATTATGTTTTATAATAAGGATTTTGTGGCTAAACAACAATGACCACAAGTAATGAAATAAAGATTTTTTTTCGCTCATTTTTTAAATCTACATACATAAATATTATTCTAAAACAAGGCGCTTATTCCCAGTGATCTACTATTATACATCAAATTAAAGTGCTCGATCTGAAACTTTGCACAAACTTTTCAAATTTAAGATTCATTGAACCACTTTCTAAATATTTGCGTCGAAAGCTTTTACAATTTTTGCATTGAGCAAAGCATTGCTACGTTAATTTCGATAGGCAGCGTCTCAGCGGGACATAAGAGAATGAAAAATAGTTCCATTTATCTTTCGTCCCTGTTTTCGTTTCATATCGAGCAATGCATTGCTACGTTCGTGCGAATTAGGTAGCGATACAAAACAAAAATTTTGCTTTTGTCTCTGTACAGTATAAATTTATTTTCAATTTTGTATATTTTTAAAAAGCTGGAAAACTTAAAAAAGAAGTCCTGGAAGACGAACTGAGAGAACGGTAAAGCATTTTAAACTCTCCATATATATGCGTTTCAGAGAATCTGTTTATTTACGTTTTTTTTCGCGGGTTAGAGAACTCTCGCCGGACTCAAAAGTTAAGATAAGATTTTTGTACTGAAAATTTGTAGTTAATTACCGATTCTGAGTAATTAATCAAAACCACTTGAAGGATCGATTAATTTCGGGTTCAAAAAATAAGCAATGTACAATAGTTAATAAAGAAATGGTTAATATGTTGTACGTAAAAGTAAATGTTTGCTATGGCGTCGATATCTACTGTCGTTTCTGAATATCCACAGGAGAATGTAGGAGTAGGAGAGTTGCACCTCATGACTTGATACTAAAAGTCGGAGCAGGTGTGATGTTAGCCCGCAACCTAAATATATACATATGAAGGGTTAGTTAATGGTCTCGCCTAATAGTTAAAGAACTACAATAGGCGTGTTTTATTTGGCGAGAAATGTAAGCTATTAGCTTATTTTGCATGCAAGACTTAGCCAACATAACTATATTGACTAAGTTTTCCATACAAAATAAGCTAATAGCTTAAATTTCTCGTCAAATAAAACACGCCTAATATAATTTTTTGGATGCCGCAATACAAATATGTACATATAAAGGATTAGTTAATGGACATGTGATTCACAAGGGAAATGAATTTTACTGTCCCATATAAATTTACAGCCCAGCGACCCAAACTATCCCTATGTATTAAAACGCCGCCAATTCAAAATTATTGCAGCGTTCGCAATAACAATAAATATGTAAGGTCAGACCCCAACAAGGGGATTGCTTTACGCATGGCCAGCTATGTATACGTACCAAGTAGAGCATGATCTTGCCAAAATACCAAAGTTAAAGTTTGTTCAATATTTACGATATTGGTTTCGATAGTAAAAAGTATTATTTATTAACAATAATTCAAATTTACAATACTTCAAGAAAATTATGAAAGTATGGTTGAATGCATATGCATGTATGCATGAACGAATATAATACAAGAGACTTTAATGTTTGAAGGTGACTTTAATTAACAATAATATGTATGTAGAAACTGAGAATGTTAATAAGCGGAAAGTATGAATGATTTTAAATAACAACTTGAGTGCAAGAATTAATATTTAACAATATGAGAAGATTCGCGAAGCGAATGATTTTATGAAAATGAAATATAATTTAAATGTACAAGTACGCAAACTATTAAAAAGATAATGCGAACGATTTGATCGATGAATAGAGGTCCTGGTAAGCGGAAATCCCTCGGTGGATGAAAATGATGATGTGCTGCTATCCTGCTGGACATCAGTGGAAAAAGAAGAAGCGAATGACAAGGTGGCGGTTGCATTTATAGGCAACACTGGAAGTGGCCCAATGTGCCAATAAGCAACCGTGGGAAGCAATTCCCGTGCACTTGTCGAACTTCCAACTAGAGCAGGGATGCTTTTCTAGAGAATATATGCAGGGATGCGTTGAAGAATCAAGCTGAGCAGGGATGCTTTCTTTAAGTAGGCGCAAGTCACTTAAACATGCCGGCCCCGTTGCACTTGTGCAAGGCTGTCCTTCTGCTTCGGCAAAGCTCTTTGAACTTATCTCTGTGCCCCGACGCCTAGTTGGATTTCTATAGATGGTAGGAGAGAATGCACCGCCGCCGATCTTTTTCTTATCCTTAAGCAATGGTTTCGCTGCATGCGCTCGAAGATCATGGGGAAGGTTGTACGAGCATTTTACATAGTCCTGTATATCCATTTTCGATGTAATCTTGGAAAAACGTATTAGTGCTTCATAACGATAAATCTCAAAACTATGCTGGATTGCTAAATGGTTTCGTGGCGAGGGCGATCTGCAAATATAATTCGTTATAAAAGCTTCTTTGAGGATTTCCATGAGAAATAGTTTCCAAAGTTCTGGGGACTTAACGTCGACCGAAACTGCAAAATCACTGCTGGGGTCGATAAATATTGAGAAGTTCAAGTGTTGTGCAAATATTTTTTGTAAGATATGTTCTCTGTTGAAGAGTGTGTGTGATTGATATCTTTGGATTTTGAAATTCAAGGCTGGGATATGCCTTTCTTGTGCGAGTTTTATAGGGCGTGAAATGATATTACGATTGGTTTCCTTTGCAATAAGTGTAAGAGATTCGTAGATATTATTCAAAGTGGACTGTATTTGATAAGCTTTTGTTTCATGATTGGAATTGCGTATATAGGAATTAACTGGCAAAGTTTTTGACCAAAGTAAAAAGTGAGAAAATATGCAATTTTTCTCTTCAATAATGTGAATGGTTTGAAGTTTGCGTTTTTTTGAAAGAGGCGAAAGTGGCGAATTTTCAAGAGGTTTCCAAAGCCACCAGAGGAAATGATTATGAGGATTAGAACATAGTATACCTTTGATATTGCTAACATATTTGTGAATTTTTTTTAATATTGTTGCGTCATTTTGTTCGAAACCATGTGGGTTTATTGTTCTTAATGATGCGATTTTTGGTTTTGAAGAAAATATATGTAATGGGGTTACTTCGAATGACTTAGATTGCATATAGCGAAATGAAGCATTCTGATTTATGGGAAGTGCAGTCGCTTTAGATACTGGGATATGTTTGATGAATAATTTCCTCCACTCTTGATGATCGAGTGGCTTTGGCACTATTTGCTGAAGTTGTATTTCGGTTTGTTTAGTAATGGGCGACAGCGTCCCTGGGGGGCTCGAAAGTGGCGAAACATAAAACGCAATTTCGCATTTTACCGCACTTGGTTTGGTGGTTTTTAGTGACCGGCTCCAAACCCATCGATGTGTTGTGTTTTGTGCGAGGAGACTTTTGAGGTTTAGGATTTTAGCTCTTTGATGTAGAGTTCTAGGTTTTATGCATCGGCGTAATGCGTTAAAATATGAATCACGGGGGTTTACTGTTGGAGTGTTTGGCTTCTTGGTGTAAGACCTTGGTAGATAATTCGTTGGTTTTCGAATTGATGACTTTTGAAAAGCTCTTGGAGTAAAGATGTGCTTGATATGCATGTGGGTATTAGGATGGTTTGATTTCTGCTGATCGATTGAAAAGCTGGTTTGTAAATGGAAATGACTATCAGCTGAGGCAATAGGGGGCTTCTCTTGGTAGATGTTGCCTTCAGTAATATAGAAAATGGGATTATTCGATTGAATTGGGTGAGGGTAGGTAGATTCAGTTTGCAAAGAAGTTGGGTTTGGACCTTTTTGAGTTAATTGTTTGCTAACTATAGCCTTTGATTCCGGCTTGTTAGTCGATTCAGGATGCAACATGGTATGGTGGAAATCTTTACAATGAAAACATTGGGAAGCTTTTTGGCAGTTGATGACCACATGACTGCCGCTCCAGCAATTGATGCAATGTCCATTGTGTTCTAAGAACTTAGTGCGTTCTTTAGTGCTGAGTTTTCGAAATTTAAAACATAATTTTATCGGGTGATTATTAATCTTGCGAAATTTGCATTTGAATGACAGATGCTCTTGGAAATGTGTTTTAATCTGATCTGCGGTTTTTTGTGGAAGAGATTTGCGTATTTTAAGCAGATCGAGAATCTGTGATGTGCAATTATAAAAACTGTCGGTACGCAATTGGAGTTGGTTACCCGCTTCTTCTTTGAAGTCGTTGGGAACATATTTTTCATCAGTAAGGCAGACTTTTCGATATGAGAGTTATAACCTTTCCCATCGTGCATTGAGATCCTCAAGCTTGATTTCCAGCAAAGTATCGGTGTGGTCTTCCGGATCTTGTTTTTCAAAATGCTCACAGAAGGTTATAATGTTGTTGGAGTCGAAAAGAAAATCTGCCATTACTGCTGACTCAGTCGCCATGACTTCAGATAACTGATCAAGATGTGTCAACGCAAGCTCCTGGGGCTCCAAATCAGGACAACAGATGCGATATGTCGCTTACTAGTCGAACCTTCGACGTCAGTTGCGGTGAGTGGTAAATGTACCAAACGATTTTTAGAGAGAGATAAAACCAAGTTGACGAACCTTCGACGGGATCGAAAAAGGTACCAATCAGATCAACCGATAAGTTTGAGAAAACAATTTGTGCAAAAATTATTTATCGTTCTTCAGACTTTGTAATTGGACCGTTAACACGGGATAGAAGCTTATAACTGTTTGGCTTACAGTTCGCAAACCATTCAGGAGAGAAGTAAATTATGATATATACGTGTGAAGTAAAATATAATATATATACGTGTGAAGTAAAATATAATATATAGGAAAATATGGTAACAGGTACGTATTAATTTGACTGCCGATCGATATGAGATCGATTAGCGACCGACGCAAACCGCACCGCGTAACCGTGAACCAGGTTAAAGATTTAAATTTGATTTCCCAATAAAGTTTTGGGTTTTGGTTTTAAATTAATTCGAATATGGCAAAGTGCAAGCGTGGCTAGTATTCGATTTAATGTCGCACTTGATTGAATGGTACAATTATTCCGGCTGATTATCTATGATGTCACGCATAACCGCAAGTAACGCAACGCAAACATATGGATTTTCGAAATTCACGTCTATGTATTTTAAACTGTCTACGTTAACGCACGTAACGCACTGGTTTTCCACGGACCACCGCACAGCCGTATGTACCCGTGCGTTTATATCACGAAAAAAGCCTTGAAATCAATTTAAATGGTTTAAATGTCTATGTTGACGGAAACAACGTTTGGTTAAATTATTGCGAACGAATCTTTACCACACTTTACCAAAACCGATGTATTCGAGAGACAAGAAAATATTCGAGTTCGAGTTATGCACTTTTAGCGTATAGCTGTATACAAATTAGAGGTACAAAGGGCTTGTACCTACCTATATGTATATTGGTATATATATATGTATATATATATAGATAGGGTGTAGGGTTGTAGGTATAACGATGTATGTATGTGCCCGTAATGAGCCACTTGAATATTATTATGGGTTAGTATATATGCATATGTATATTCACCAACGTATATAAATGGAAAAGATAAAAAAACAGATTCATGCAAATGATTTTAAAATTTTCATAAATGTAGCATTTTTTTCTCTGAGTGTATCGCTTTTGTCAACAGCGAATCTTATTAGATTTTATGTATATCAACTCGTTGTGTTGACGAAAGCAACGAATTGCAAATGAAACGCAAATACGTATGTACGTATGTATGTAAATACATACATATGCACATAAATAAGCAAATAATAAGGCAATGTTCCAACGCAGGCGCAAACGGCACAAATGGATTTACCCAAAAACACGAGTGTATTGAAAATATATACATATACAACCCTATGTATATTTAAGCAAAAGAAATGCGCTGGTGCAACCAGCAAGTTGCAAAGTAATATGTATGCGCAGTGGTAAAAATTTTGACACGAACTTTCAGGGTTTTTACACACATACGTTCATATGCATATCAAGACGTATGTATGTACATATGGATAGGAAAATTCCTGCAAAGAATTTTAAAGTTTTGCAAATGTATACTTTTTTTTCCTTAAGTGTATCGCTTTTGACACTAGCGATTCTGATTGGAAATTATAGCAGCTGGAAATTTAGCAGGCAGCGCAGCCAACGAAATATACAAAGAAATGCAAACGAAATATGCAAAGAAACTATGCCAATACGTAAGTATGTATGTACATGTATGTACATACATACATATGCACATAAATACGCGAATAATACGGCAAAGTTTCTAACGCCGGCGCAAACGGCAAAATTTATATATACAAAAAAACCACACAGAGCGTTTTGAAAATTTAGATGTAGATATATGTAGATGCACATACGAGAATGTACGATGGAAATAATAGCGCTGGCGCAACCAGCAAATTTTAAAGTAGATATTAGCGGTAGGAGTACCGAATAAAATTGCTACGCTAGCGTGTGGTTTTTGTACATAAGTACATACATACATACATATGTACATCAACGAATATGGCGAATTAAATTTTAGACTTCCAACGAGTAGTGGGTTTTCGCTTGTACGTACATATGTATATTAAAACCGTTAGAGTAACGGGAATATGTATGTATACATTTATGATTGCAAAATCAAGAAAATTGTATTTTGTGACTTACTTGCGTGTTTGGGGTTTTACCATGGTTGACCGGGGAGGAAACGACTTTCCCGCGTTGCAAATTTTTTGTCCAACGATGAAAATTGGGTCCCGCGAAGCTCCTTTAGCTCCCGCGCTGAAATGTTGGTCCCTCGTTGCGAACTCCCACGGCGCACTTGTTGCCGAACTCTAATTTTATTGTTTTTGAAATCCCACGTTGGGCAGCCGAAAATGTTGGCGTAATTTATAAAAAATGCAAAACTTTTACAATTTACCGGTTTTAATGTTTTTGGTGATCGAAAAAGACGAGAGTGAAAATTTGCTGCTGCTGCTCGCTGATGCTGCCGAAAAAGAAAAGAAGTAATAATGACAGTCGCAACCAAGAAAATTATGAAAGTATGGTTGAATGCATATGCATGTATGCATG